AAGCAGTGGTATCAACGCAGAGTACTCAATCAACCGAGAAATAATAATCTGCATATCGCAATCATCTACGTGACTATTGATTTCAGAAGGAATATCAATAGAGCCAGAAGGTACAAGAATAATATCACCATCAACAACTACCGGAGAATAAATAATTTCTACAGGATCACCAGGATCCGAATAAATCGGATCCCTCGAAACTGAATTAAAACGCATAATTAACCTCCATACATAGCATGTGCATCATGACCGGAAATAATAAACTCAGGAGGTTTCTTCTGATGAATCGTAATACTGAATCTCATTTTTCTTCTGTTCCTACTCTCCAAACTAGGAGATCTGTGTTTGATCGGTCTTTTTCTCATACTACGACTTTTAACTTTGCTGATTGTATTCCTATTCTCTGCGAGGAAGTCCTCCCTGGTGATACTGTTTCTTTGACTACCAGCAAGATTGTACGTATGCAGACTCTTTTATCCCCTGTGATGGGCAATGCCTATTTGGACACTTATTATTTTTTCGTGCCTAACAGAATCCTTTGGGATCATTGGGTTAATTTCATGGGTGAGAACGCGGATTCCGCGTGGATCCCTAAAGTTGACTATCGTATGCCTCGTGTTGGTTCTCCTGGTGATTCTACTGGTTTTAATACTGGTACTATTGCTGATTATCTTGGCTATCCTACTAATGTAGCGTGGAGTCCTGATTCTGATTATGCTCCTACTGTTCTCCCTATGAGAGCCTATGCGATGTGCATGGATCATTTCTTTCGTGACCAGAACTTAACTGCTCCTCTTCCTATTTCTACTGCTGACGGCGATGTAAGAGGCTCTAATGCGAGAGATATTAATGCCTATGCTAAAGGTGGTTTGCCCTTCAGGGCTTATAAGTTTCATGATTATTTTACTTCTTGCCTTCCTTCTCCCCAAAAAGGTCCTGATGTTAATATAGGTGCTAATATGCGATTGAAGCTTCCTGTTTATGCTGCTAATAATCATGGTTATTTTAATACTGGTGGATCTCCCAGTATTCCTATTGCTGTTCAGGGTGCTGTTCTTCCTGGTAATTCCTCATCTTCTGTTAATCCTACTCAGGCTCTTACTGCTTCCAGCAATAATATTAATTATTCTGCTGTTGGTTCTCAGACTGTTGGTTCTGTGACTTATCCCGTTATTAATAGTTCAACTAACCTTTTTATTCCTTCTAATCTGTGGGCAGTTAATCAGACTTCTTCTGGTGCTATTGGTACTTCTGATGTTAATTTGACTGTTAATTCTCTTCGTATAGCTGTTCTTACTCAGATGTATTATGAAGTTCTTGCCCGGAGCGGCTCTCGTTATGAGGAGCAGCTGCATGCTTTCTTTCATGTTACTAATCCGGATTCCAGAATGCAGCACCCCGAATACCTCGGCGGTAATCGTATTCGTCTTAATGTTCATGAAGTAACGAATACTTCCCAGTCTGAGCAGGATTTTCTCGGTGATATTGGCGCTAAGTCTGCGACTACTGATTCTCATGCTGATTTTGTTCGTTCCTTTACTGAACACGGTTGGTTGCTTGGTATTGCAGTTGCTCGATATGATCACCTTTATAGCCAGTCGCTTCCTGCTAAATTTCTCGAGTTGATAAATTTAGTTTCTATAATCCGCTTTTCTCCGAGATTGGCGAACAGCCCGTTTATGATTCTGAGATCTATGCTACTACTTCCAGCATTGAGGATCATTCTGTTTTTGGATATCAGGAAGGTTGGGCTTCTTACCGTTATGCACCGAATGTTGTTTCTGGTTTAATGCGTCCGACTTCTGAGGGTGCTTTCTCTACTTGGACATTTGCCGATGCTTATAGTACTAAGCCCACGCTTTCCGCTGGTTGGGCTCGAGAGGATCCTAATATTCCCAATCGTGTGCTTGCTGTCACTTCTGATCTTTCTGATCAGATTTTTGCTGATTTCTATTTCGAAGCAAAATGGTCTAGAGTCATGCCGATGTTCTCTGTTCCTGGTGCTATTGGTGCATTTTAATAATAAAAATTATTAATTTATCTATATAATCCGAGGCGAGCACCGCTTAAGCCAATTTAACCGCTTATCCACAGGAATTATCCACATAATTGTGGATAAACCTGTGGATAAGTCCTATTATCGTGTCTAAAAGCCTTTTTTGCTTCCCTGTATATAATATAATAATAATATATATATATATTATAATATATTACATTAAGGTATATATATATTATATTATATATTATATACAGGTAGCTCAAGCAATCGCATTTGCGGTTTTTGCGTTTTTGCAAACCTTCCGCTTCAAACTTTTATTTTTTAACTTTTTTATCTCAGGAGGTTTCAAAATGAGTATACTTAGTCGGATTTCCGATACTTTTCATGGTGTTGTTGACGGTCTTAACAACACTTTTAAGGTCATGAATGCTACTGTTCCTGCTCCTGCTCCTTTGCAGTCTGTTAATTCTGGCCTTGAAGCTGGTATCAAGGCCACAACCAAGTTTGACAATAAGGTTAAAGATGTTGCTGGTGCAATGTATGATAATTGGATTAAACCTGAATTAGATGCTAAGGTCAGTGCTGGCAAGGAGTTAGGTGAAGCTGTTGGTAATGCTTTATCAAATAATGATTATGCTTCTAGTACTGTCCCTATTTATTCTGATGCCGGTACAAGGCTCCCTGCGGCCTCAGATGCCGTTAGTTATCTGAATGCTGATTTGGCTAAGGCATACAATATGGACGCCTCCACGGCGTATCAGGAGGCTCTGAGCAACACTAGTTATCAGCGAGCCGTTTCCGATCTTCAGAAGGCCGGCCTTAACCCTGCTCTGCTTTATGGTTCTCTTCAGGGTGCCTCAGCTGGAGTTTATGCTCCTGCCCAGCTGGGCAGTGATGGTGTATCTACTGGTGTCAGCAGTGCTAAATCTTCTCATGACTATTATAAGAAGTTTTCCAATATTGGTGGCCTCATTGGTGCCGGTATTGGTGCTATTTCTGGTGGTGTTAAAGGCTCTTATTTTGGATCCAAAGTTGGCTCTAGTGTTGGTGGAGCCTTTGGTAATCTTTTTGATCTTCAATAATTAATCACCGGGCACATATTTTTGCCTTGATTATATATGTGCCCGGTGACACCGGAGGTGTTAATATGTCTTGTTTTCGTCCTAATGCTGTGATCTATCATGGCGATAGTTTCTATAAGTTTGCTGGTAAAGCTTCTAGCCAATTAGAGTCCTCTTTGATTGATGGTCAAAGGATGGTGCTTGTTCCATGTGGTCAGTGTGCCGGTTGTCGATCTGATCGTGCTAAAGCTTGGGCTAATCGGCTTATGTTGGAGTACAAGTATAGTTGTAATGATGCGCTTTTTTTGACTTTGACTTATGATGATCAGCATTTGCCTTTGGTTCGTGATCCCGATGGTGTTCCTATTCCTTCGCTTAAAAAGAGAGATTTCCAGCTTTTTATTAAGCGATTGCGTAAGTTTTTTTCTAACAAGCGGATTCGTTATTTCTTATGCGGTGAATATGGCGATAAGACATTCCGACCTCATGGTCATGCTATTATCTTTGGTCTTACTCCTAATGATTTCAAGGACTTTGAAATCTGGAGTGATAGTTCTGAAGGTGTCCTTTTGCATTCAGGACATTTAGATACTATCTGGTCATTTGGGCGCGTACTTTTTTCAATTGCTAACTATGCTACTTTTAAGTATGTTTCTAGGTATGTTCTGAAAAAACAATTTGGTCAAGATGGTTATTTTGCTTACAGGAATCGTGTTTCTCCTTTTATCTTGATGTCTACTAAGCCAGCTCTTGGCATGGCTGCCATTGATCAGTATGGTGATTTTTCTTGTTTGCCGGTGTCTGATGGCATTTTTAAAACTCGTGTAAATATGCCGAGATCTTTTTTAACAAAATTATCCTTGTCGGATCCTGATCGTTATGATATTATATCTATGCGGAGGCATTTTCTTGCCGAGTCTAGGACGAATTTAATCAAGTCTCAGTTATCGAGTGATTATTTTTCTTTCCTCAGAGGTCAAGAGTCTGATTTCCGTGCTAAATCTTATAAATCTTTTAGGAGGTGTCAATTATGAAAAGATGGCGTGCTGGATCCGGTGATCGTCGTTTCTTTCGCCGGACTGCTTCTGGATCCAAGGCTATTAACCTTGGCGGTCTCACTCTGAGAGGAGGCCTTCGTCTGTAATGGCTACTTGGTACGAGGATAGCTGTATTTTTCACAATGAAATTGGTGGTGTCTACAAGCATTATGATTTTCGAAGTCGTGCTTGGTATTTTGAAGTCACTACGACTGACGGCTATTGGTCTATTTTTTCCAATGAGGATACTGCTATTGAATTTTTGACGAGTGCTCAGTATTATTTTGCTGTAAGAAAGGGTAATGAAAAATGAAATATCGTGTTTATTCTATTCGTGATCGCTTGGTTGGTTTTGGTGCTCTTACTCTTGATCAGAGCGATGATAGTGCCAAACGAAATTTTGCTTATAGTTTGAGCAATGGCATCAATGCTTTTGCTGCTGATGATTTTGATCTTTACTGGCTCGGTACTTATGATCTTGATAAAGGTGTTCTTGATCCTAATCTTGTTCCTGAGTTTATTATTTCCGGTCATGATGCACATGCTATGTATGGAGGTTAATTATGCGTTTTAATTCAGTTTCGAGGGATCCGATTTATTCGGATCCTGGTGATCCTGTAGAAATTATTTATTCTCCGGTAGTTGTTGATGGTGATATTATTCTTGTACCTTCTGGCTCTATTGATATTCCTTCTGAAATCAATAGTCACGTAGATGATTGCGATATGCAGATTATTATTTCTCGGTTGATTGCCGGTGATACTTCTGTTTTAAGGCCTTCCATTTATGGTGATGTTTCTGATGCTTCTTTTGATCACCGTGCAGCGCTTGATTTTGTGATTCAAAGTCAATCTTACTTTGATAATTTGCCCGCTGCCATTAAGGCTCAATTTGATAATTCTTTTGTTAACTGGTTCCAGAGTGCCGGTTCCGAAGTTTTTATTAATAATTTTAATGTTAAATCTGAGGAGGTTTCTTCTGATGAATCGTAATACTGAATCTCATTTTTCTTCTGTTCCTACTCTCCAAACTAGGAGATCTGTGTTTGATCGGTCTTTTTCTCATACTACGACTTTTAACTTTGCTGATTGTATTCCTATTCTCTGCGAGGAAGTCCTCCCTGGTGATACTGTTTCTTTGACTACCAGCAAGATTGTACGTATGCAGACTCTTTTATCCCCTGTGATGGGCAATGCCTATTTGGACACTTATTATTTTTTCGTGCCTAACAGAATCCTTTGGGATCATTGGGTTAATTTCATGGGTGAGAACGCGGATTCCGCGTGGATCCCTAAAGTTGACTATCGTATGCCTCGTGTTGGTTCTCCTGGTGATTCTACTGGTTTTAATACTGGTACTATTGCTGATTATCTTGGCTATCCTACTAATGTAGCGTGGAGTCCTGATTCTGATTATGCTCCTACTGTTCTCCCTATGAGAGCCTATGCGATGTGCATGGATCATTTCTTTCGTGACCAGAACTTAACTGCTCCTCTTCCTATTTCTACTGCTGACGGCGATGTAAGAGGCTCTAATGCGAGAGATATTAATGCCTATGCTAAAGGTGGTTTGCCCTTCAGGGCTTATAAGTTTCATGATTATTTTACTTCTTGCCTTCCTTCTCCCCAAAAAGGTCCTGATGTTAATATAGGTGCTAATATGCGATTGAAGCTTCCTGTTTATGCTGCTAATAATCATGGTTATTTTAATACTGGTGGATCTCCCAGTATTCCTATTGCTGTTCAGGGTGCTGTTCTTCCTGGTAATTCCTCATCTTCTGTTAATCCTACTCAGGCTCTTACTGCTTCCAGCAATAATATTAATTATTCTGCTGTTGGTTCTCAGACTGTTGGTTCTGTGACTTATCCCGTTATTAATAGTTCAACTAACCTTTTTATTCCTTCTAATCTGTGGGCAGTTAATCAGACTTCTTCTGGTGCTATTGGTACTTCTGATGTTAATTTGACTGTTAATTCTCTTCGTATAGCTGTTCTTACTCAGATGTATTATGAAGTTCTTGCCCGGAGCGGCTCTCGTTATGAGGAGCAGCTGCATGCTTTCTTTCATGTTACTAATCCGGATTCCAGAATGCAGCACCCCGAATACCTCGGCGGTAATCGTATTCGTCTTAATGTTCATGAAGTAACGAATACTTCCCAGTCTGAGCAGGATTTTCTCGGTGATATTGGCGCTAAGTCTGCGACTACTGATTCTCATGCTGATTTTGTTCGTTCCTTTACTGAACACGGTTGGTTGCTTGGTATTGCAGTTGCTCGATATGATCACCTTTATAGCCAGTCGCTTCCTGCTAAATTTTCTCGAGTTGATAAATTTAGTTTCTATAATCCGCTTTTCTCCGAGATTGGCGAACAGCCCGTTTATGATTCTGAGATCTATGCTACTACTTCCAGCATTGAGGATCATTCTGTTTTTGGATATCAGGAAGGTTGGGCTTCTTACCGTTATGCACCGAATGTTGTTTCTGGTTTAATGCGTCCGACTTCTGAGGGTGCTTTCTCTACTTGGACATTTGCCGATGCTTATAGTACTAAGCCCACGCTTTCCGCTGGTTGGGCTCGAGAGGATCCTAATATTCCCAATCGTGTGCTTGCTGTCACTTCTGATCTTTCTGATCAGATTTTTGCTGATTTCTATTTCGAAGCAAAATGGTCTAGAGTCATGCCGATGTTCTCTGTTCCTGGTGCTATTGGTGCATTTTAATAATAAAAATTATTAATTTATCTATATAATCCGAGGCGAGCACCGCTTAAGCCAATTTAACCGCTTATCCACAGGAATTATCCACATAATTGTGGATAAACCTGTGGATAAGTCCTATTATCGTGTCTAAAAGCCTTTTTTGCTTCCCTGTATATAATATAATAATAATATATATATATATTATAATATATTACATTAAGGTATATATATATTATATTATATATTATATACAGGTAGCTCAAGCAATCGCATTTGCGGTTTTTGCGTTTTTGCAAACCTTCCGCTTCAAACTTTTATTTTTTAACTTTTTTATCTCAGGAGGTTTCAAAATGAGTATACTTAGTCGGATTTCCGATACTTTTCATGGTGTTGTTGACGGTCTTAACAACACTTTTAAGGTCATGAATGCTACTGTTCCTGCTCCTGCTCCTTTGCAGTCTGTTAATTCTGGCCTTGAAGCTGGTATCAAGGCCACAACCAAGTTTGACAATAAGGTTAAAGATGTTGCTGGTGCAATGTATGATAATTGGATTAAACCTGAATTAGATGCTAAGGTCAGTGCTGGCAAGGAGTTAGGTGAAGCTGTTGGTAATGCTTTATCAAATAATGATTATGCTTCTAGTACTGTCCCTATTTATTCTGATGCCGGTACAAGGCTCCCTGCGGCCTCAGATGCCGTTAGTTATCTGAATGCTGATTTGGCTAAGGCATACAATATGGACGCCTCCACGGCGTATCAGGAGGCTCTGAGCAACACTAGTTATCAGCGAGCCGTTTCCGATCTTCAGAAGGCCGGCCTTAACCCTGCTCTGCTTTATGGTTCTCTTCAGGGTGCCTCAGCTGGAGTTTATGCTCCTGCCCAGCTGGGCAGTGATGGTGTATCTACTGGTGTCAGCAGTGCTAAATCTTCTCATGACTATTATAAGAAGTTTTCCAATATTGGTGGCCTCATTGGTGCCGGTATTGGTGCTATTTCTGGTGGTGTTAAAGGCTCTTATTTTGGATCCAAAGTTGGCTCTAGTGTTGGTGGAGCCTTTGGTAATCTTTTTGATCTTCAATAATTAATCACCGGGCACATATTTTTGCCTTGATTATATATGTGCCCGGTGACACCGGAGGTGTTAATATGTCTTGTTTTCGTCCTAATGCTGTGATCTATCATGGCGATAGTTTCTATAAGTTTGCTGGTAAAGCTTCTAGCCAATTAGAGTCCTCTTTGATTGATGGTCAAAGGATGGTGCTTGTTCCATGTGGTCAGTGTGCCGGTTGTCGATCTGATCGTGCTAAAGCTTGGGCTAATCGGCTTATGTTGGAGTACAAGTATAGTTGTAATGATGCGCTTTTTTTGACTTTGACTTATGATGATCAGCATTTGCCTTTGGTTCGTGATCCCGATGGTGTTCCTATTCCTTCGCTTAAAAAGAGAGATTTCCAGCTTTTTATTAAGCGATTGCGTAAGTTTTTTTCTAACAAGCGGATTCGTTATTTCTTATGCGGTGAATATGGCGATAAGACATTCCGACCTCATGGTCATGCTATTATCTTTGGTCTTACTCCTAATGATTTCAAGGACTTTGAAATCTGGAGTGATAGTTCTGAAGGTGTCCTTTTGCATTCAGGACATTTAGATACTATCTGGTCATTTGGGCGCGTACTTTTTTCAATTGCTAACTATGCTACTTTTAAGTATGTTTCTAGGTATGTTCTGAAAAAACAATTTGGTCAAGATGGTTATTTTGCTTACAGGAATCGTGTTTCTCCTTTTATCTTGATGTCTACTAAGCCAGCTCTTGGCATGGCTGCCATTGATCAGTATGGTGATTTTTCTTGTTTGCCGGTGTCTGATGGCATTTTTAAAACTCGTGTAAATATGCCGAGATCTTTTTTAACAAAATTATCCTTGTCGGATCCTGATCGTTATGATATTATATCTATGCGGAGGCATTTTCTTGCCGAGTCTAGGACGAATTTAATCAAGTCTCAGTTATCGAGTGATTATTTTTCTTTCCTCAGAGGTCAAGAGTCTGATTTCCGTGCTAAATCTTATAAATCTTTTAGGAGGTGTCAATTATGAAAAGATGGCGTGCTGGATCCGGTGATCGTCGTTTCTTTCGCCGGACTGCTTCTGGATCCAAGGCTATTAACCTTGGCGGTCTCACTCTGAGAGGAGGCCTTCGTCTGTAATGGCTACTTGGTACGAGGATAGCTGTATTTTTCACAATGAAATTGGTGGTGTCTACAAGCATTATGATTTTCGAAGTCGTGCTTGGTATTTTGAAGTCACTACGACTGACGGCTATTGGTCTATTTTTTCCAATGAGGATACTGCTATTGAATTTTTGACGAGTGCTCAGTATTATTTTGCTGTAAGAAAGGGTAATGAAAAATGAAATATCGTGTTTATTCTATTCGTGATCGCTTGGTTGGTTTTGGTGCTCTTACTCTTGATCAGAGCGATGATAGTGCCAAACGAAATTTTGCTTATAGTTTGAGCAATGGCATCAATGCTTTTGCTGCTGATGATTTTGATCTTTACTGGCTCGGTACTTATGATCTTGATAAAGGTGTTCTTGATCCTAATCTTGTTCCTGAGTTTATTATTTCCGGTCATGATGCACATGCTATGTATGGAGGTTAATTATGCGTTTTAATTCAGTTTCGAGGGATCCGATTTATTCGGATCCTGGTGATCCTGTAGAAATTATTTATTCTCCGGTAGTTGTTGATGGTGATATTATTCTTGTACCTTCTGGCTCTATTGATATTCCTTCTGAAATCAATAGTCACGTAGATGATTGCGATATGCAGATTATTATTTCTCGGTTGATTGCCGGTGATACTTCTGTTTTAAGGCCTTCCATTTATGGTGATGTTTCTGATGCTTCTTTTGATCACCGTGCAGCGCTTGATTTTGTGATTCAAAGTCAATCTTACTTTGATAATTTGCCCGCTGCCATTAAGGCTCAATTTGATAATTCTTTTGTTAACTGGTTCCAGAGTGCCGGTTCCGAAGTTTTTATTAATAATTTTAATGTTAAATCTGAGGAGGTTTCTTCTGATGAATCGTAATACTGAATCTCATTTTTCTTCTGTTCCTACTCTCCAAACTAGGAGATCTGTGTTTGATCGGTCTTTTTCTCATACTACGACTTTTAACTTTGCTGATTGTATTCCTATTCTCTGCGAGGAAGTCCTCCCTGGTGATACTGTTTCTTTGACTACCAGCAAGATTGTACGTATGCAGACTCTTTTATCCCCTGTGATGGGCAATGCCTATTTGGACACTTATTATTTTTTCGTGCCTAACAGAATCCTTTGGGATCATTGGGTTAATTTCATGGGTGAGAACGCGGATTCCGCGTGGATCCCTAAAGTTGACTATCGTATGCCTCGTGTTGGTTCTCCTGGTGATTCTACTGGTTTTAATACTGGTACTATTGCTGATTATCTTGGCTATCCTACTAATGTAGCGTGGAGTCCTGATTCTGATTATGCTCCTACTGTTCTCCCTATGAGAGCCTATGCGATGTGCATGGATCATTTCTTTCGTGACCAGAACTTAACTGCTCCTCTTCCTATTTCTACTGCTGACGGCGATGTAAGAGGCTCTAATGCGAGAGATATTAATGCCTATGCTAAAGGTGGTTTGCCCTTCAGGGCTTATAAGTTTCATGATTATTTTACTTCTTGCCTTCCTTCTCCCCAAAAAGGTCCTGATGTTAATATAGGTGCTAATATGCGATTGAAGCTTCCTGTTTATGCTGCTAATAATCATGGTTATTTTAATACTGGTGGATCTCCCAGTATTCCTATTGCTGTTCAGGGTGCTGTTCTTCCTGGTAATTCCTCATCTTCTGTTAATCCTACTCAGGCTCTTACTGCTTCCAGCAATAATATTAATTATTCTGCTGTTGGTTCTCAGACTGTTGGTTCTGTGACTTATCCCGTTATTAATAGTTCAACTAACCTTTTTATTCCTTCTAATCTGTGGGCAGTTAATCAGACTTCTTCTGGTGCTATTGGTACTTCTGATGTTAATTTGACTGTTAATTCTCTTCGTATAGCTGTTCTTACTCAGATGTATTATGAAGTTCTTGCCCGGAGCGGCTCTCGTTATGAGGAGCAGCTGCATGCTTTCTTTCATGTTACTAATCCGGATTCCAGAATGCAGCACCCCGAATACCTCGGCGGTAATCGTATTCGTCTTAATGTTCATGAAGTAACGAATACTTCCCAGTCTGAGCAGGATTTTCTCGGTGATATTGGCGCTAAGTCTGCGACTACTGATTCTCATGCTGATTTTGTTCGTTCCTTTACTGAACACGGTTGGTTGCTTGGTATTGCAGTTGCTCGATATGATCACCTTTATAGCCAGTCGCTTCCTGCTAAATTTTCTCGAGTTGATAAATTTAGTTTCTATAATCCGCTTTTCTCCGAGATTGGCGAACAGCCCGTTTATGATTCTGAGATCTATGCTACTACTTCCAGCATTGAGGATCATTCTGTTTTTGGATATCAGGAAGGTTGGGCTTCTTACCGTTATGCACCGAATGTTGTTTCTGGTTTAATGCGTCCGACTTCTGAGGGTGCTTTCTCTACTTGGACATTTGCCGATGCTTATAGTACTAAGCCCACGCTTTCCGCTGGTTGGGCTCGAGAGGATCCTAATATTCCCAATCGTGTGCTTGCTGTCACTTCTGATCTTTCTGATCAGATTTTTGCTGATTTCTATTTCGAAGCAAAATGGTCTAGAGTCATGCCGATGTTCTCTGTTCCTGGTGCTATTGGTGCATTTTAATAATAAAAATTATTAATTTATCTATATAATCCGAGGCGAGCACCGCTTAAGCCAATTTAACCGCTTATCCACAGGAATTATCCACATAATTGTGGATAAACCTGTGGATAAGTCCTATTATCGTGTCTAAAAGCCTTTTTTGCTTCCCTGTATATAATATAATAATAATATATATATATATTATAATATATTACATTAAGGTATATATATATATTATATTATATATTATATACAGGTAGCTCAAGCAATCGCATTTGCGGTTTTTGCGTTTTTGCAAACCTTCCGCTTCAAACTTTTATTTTTTAACTTTTTTATCTCAGGAGGTTTCAAAATGAGTATACTTAGTCGGATTTCCGATACTTTTCATGGTGTTGTTGACGGTCTTAACAACACTTTTAAGGTCATGAATGCTACTGTTCCTGCTCCTGCTCCTTTGCAGTCTGTTAATTCTGGCCTTGAAGCTGGTATCAAGGCCACAACCAAGTTTGACAATAAGGTTAAAGATGTTGCTGGTGCAATGTATGATAATTGGATTAAACCTGAATTAGATGCTAAGGTCAGTGCTGGCAAGGAGTTAGGTGAAGCTGTTGGTAATGCTTTATCAAATAATGATTATGCTTCTAGTACTGTCCCTATTTATTCTGATGCCGGTACAAGGCTCCCTGCGGCCTCAGATGCCGTTAGTTATCTGAATGCTGATTTGGCTAAGGCATACAATATGGACGCCTCCACGGCGTATCAGGAGGCTCTGAGCAACACTAGTTATCAGCGAGCCGTTTCCGATCTTCAGAAGGCCGGCCTTAACCCTGCTCTGCTTTATGGTTCTCTTCAGGGTGCCTCAGCTGGAGTTTATGCTCCTGCCCAGCTGGGCAGTGATGGTGTATCTACTGGTGTCAGCAGTGCTAAATCTTCTCATGACTATTATAAGAAGTTTTCCAATATTGGTGGCCTCATTGGTGCCGGTATTGGTGCTATTTCTGGTGGTGTTAAAGGCTCTTATTTTGGATCCAAAGTTGGCTCTAGTGTTGGTGGAGCCTTTGGTAATCTTTTTGATCTTCAATAATTAATCACCGGGCACATATTTTTGCCTTGATTATATATGTGCCCGGTGACACCGGAGGTGTTAATATGTCTTGTTTTCGTCCTAATGCTGTGATCTATCATGGCGATAGTTTCTATAAGTTTGCTGGTAAAGCTTCTAGCCAATTAGAGTCCTCTTTGATTGATGGTCAAAGGATGGTGCTTGTTCCATGTGGTCAGTGTGCCGGTTGTCGATCTGATCGTGCTAAAGCTTGGGCTAATCGGCTTATGTTGGAGTACAAGTATAGTTGTAATGATGCGCTTTTTTTGACTTTGACTTATGATGATCAGCATTTGCCTTTGGTTCGTGATCCCGATGGTGTTCCTATTCCTTCGCTTAAAAAGAGAGATTTCCAGCTTTTTATTAAGCGATTGCGTAAGTTTTTTTCTAACAAGCGGATTCGTTATTTCTTATGCGGTGAATATGGCGATAAGACATTCCGACCTCATGGTCATGCTATTATCTTTGGTCTTACTCCTAATGATTTCAAGGACTTTGAAATCTGGAGTGATAGTTCTGAAGGTGTCCTTTTGCATTCAGGACATTTAGATACTATCTGGTCATTTGGGCGCGTACTTTTTTCAATTGCTAACTATGCTACTTTTAAGTATGTTTCTAGGTATGTTCTGAAAAAACAATTTGGTCAAGATGGTTATTTTGCTTACAGGAATCGTGTTTCTCCTTTTATCTTGATGTCTACTAAGCCAGCTCTTGGCATGGCTGCCATTGATCAGTATGGTGATTTTTCTTGTTTGCCGGTGTCTGATGGCATTTTTAAAACTCGTGTAAATATGCCGAGATCTTTTTTAACAAAATTATCCTTGTCGGATCCTGATCGTTATGATATTATATCTATGCGGAGGCATTTTCTTGCCGAGTCTAGGACGAATTTAATCAAGTCTCAGTTATCGAGTGATTATTTTTCTTTCCTCAGAGGTCAAGAGTCTGATTTCCGTGCTAAATCTTATAAATCTTTTAGGAGGTGTCAATTATGAAAAGATGGCGTGCTGGATCCGGTGATCGTCGTTTCTTTCGCCGGACTGCTTCTGGATCCAAGGCTATTAACCTTGGCGGTCTCACTCTGAGAGGAGGCCTTCGTCTGTAATGGCTACTTGGTACGAGGATAGCTGTATTTTTCACAATGAAATTGGTGGTGTCTACAAGCATTATGATTTTCGAAGTCGTGCTTGGTATTTTGAAGTCACTACGACTGACGGCTATTGGTCTATTTTTTCCAATGAGGATACTGCTATTGAATTTTTGACGAGTGCTCAGTATTATTTTGCTGTAAGAAAGGGTAATGAAAAATGAAATATCGTGTTTATTCTATTCGTGATCGCTTGGTTGGTTTTGGTGCTCTTACTCTTGATCAGAGCGATGATAGTGCCAAACGAAATTTTGCTTATAGTTTGAGCAATGGCATCAATGCTTTTGCTGCTGATGATTTTGATCTTTACTGGCTCGGTACTTATGATCTTGATAAAGGTGTTCTTGATCCTAATCTTGTTCCTGAGTTTATTATTTCCGGTCATGATGCACATGCTATGTATGGAGGTTAATTATGCGTTTTAATTCAGTTTCGAGGGATCCGATTTATTCGGATCCTGGTGATCCTGTAGAAATTATTTATTCTCCGGTAGTTGTTGATGGTGATATTATTCTTGTACCTTCTGGCTCTATTGATATTCCTTCTGAAATCAATAGTCACGTAGATGATTGCGATATGCAGATTATTATTTCTCGGTTGATTGCCGGTGATACTTCTGTTTTAAGGCCTTCCATTTATGGTGATGTTTCTGATGCTTCTTTTGATCACCGTGCAGCGCTTGATTTTGTGATTCAAAGTCAATCTTACTTTGATAATTTGCCCGCTGCCATTAAGGCTCAATTTGATAATTCTTTTGTTAACTGGTTCCAGAGTGCCGGTTCCGAAGTTTTTATTAATAATTTTAATGTTAAATCTGAGGAGGTTTCTTCTGATGAATCGTAATACTGAATCTCATTTTTCTTCTGTTCCTACTCTCCAAACTAGGAGATCTGTGTTTGATCGGTCTTTTTCTCATACTACGACTTTTAACTTTGCTGATTGTATTCCTATTCTCTGCGAGGAAGTCCTCCCTGGTGATACTGTTTCTTTGACTACCAGCAAGATTGTACGTATGCAGACTCTTTTATCCCCTGTGATGGGCAATGCCTATTTGGACACTTATTATTTTTTCGTGCCTAACAGAATCCTTTGGGATCATTGGGTTAATTTCATGGGTGAGAACGCGGATTCCGCGTGGATCCCTAAAGTTGACTATCGTATGCCTCGTGTTGGTTCTCCTGGTGATTCTACTGGTTTTAATACTGGTACTATTGCTGATTATCTTGGCTATCCTACTAATGTAGCGTGGAGTCCTGATTCTGATTATGCTCCTACTGTTCTCCCTATGAGAGCCTATGCGATGTGCATGGATCATTTCTTTCGTGACCAGAACTTAACTGCTCCTCTTCCTATTTCTACTGCTGACGGCGATGTAAGAGGCTCTAATGCGAGAGATATTAATGCCTATGCTAAAGGTGGTTTGCCCTTCAGGGCTTATAAGTTTCATGATTATTTTACTTCTTGCCTTCCTTCTCCCCAAAAAGGTCCTGATGTTAATATAGGTGCTAATATGCGATTGAAGCTTCCTGTTTATGCTGCTAATAATCATGGTTATTTTAATACTGGTGGATCTCCCAGTATTCCTATTGCTGTTCAGGGTGCTGTTCTTCCTGGTAATTCCTCATCTTCTGTTAATCCTACTCAGGCTCTTACTGCTTCCAGCAATAATATTAATTATTCTGCTGTTGGTTCTCAGACTGTTGGTTCTGTGACTTATCCCGTTATTAATAGTTCAACTAACCTTTTTATTCCTTCTAATCTGTGGGCAGTTAATCAGACTTCTTCTGGTGCTATTGGTACTTCTGATGTTAATTTGACTGTTAATTCTCTTCGTATAGCTGTTCTTACTCAGATGTATTATGAAGTTCTTGCCCGGAGCGGCTCTCGTTATGAGGAGCAGCTGCATGCTTTCTTTCATGTTACTAATCCGGATTCCAGAATGCAGCACCCCGAATACCTCGGCGGTAATCGTATTCGTCTTAATGTTCATGAAGTAACGAATACTTCCCAGTCTGAGCAGGATTTTCTCGGTGATATTGGCGCTAAGTCTGCGACTACTGATTCTCATGCTGATTTTGTTCGTTCCTTTACTGAACACGGTTGGTTGCTTGGTATTGCAGTTGCTCGATATGATCACCTTTATAGCCAGTCGCTTCCTGCTAAATTTTCTCGAGTTGATAAATTTAGTTTCTATAATCCGCTTTTCTCCGAGATTGGCGAACAGCCCGTTTATGATTCTGAGATCTATGCTACTACTTCCAGCATTGAGGATCATTCTGTTTTTGGATATCAGGAAGGTTGGGCTTCTTACCGTTATGCACCGAATGTTGTTTCTGGTTTAATGCGTCCGACTTCTGAGGGTGCTTTCTCTACTTGGACATTTGCCGATGCTTATAGTACTAAGCCCACGCTTTCCGCTGGTTGGGCTCGAGAGGATCCTAATATTCCCAATCGTGTGCTTGCTGTCACTTCTGATCTTTCTGATCAGATTTTTGCTGATTTCTATTTCGAAGCAAAATGGTCTAGAGTCATGCCGATGTTCTCTGTTCCTGGTGCTATTGGTGCATTTTAATAATAAAAATTATTAATTTATCTATATAATCCGAGGCGAGCACCGCTTAAGCCAATTTAACCGCTTATCCACAGGAATTATCCACATAATTGTGGATAAACCTGTGGATAAGTCCTATTATCGTGTCTAAAAGCCTTTTTTGCTTCCCTGTATATAATATAATAATAATATATATATATATTATAATATATTACATTAAGGTATATATATATTATATTATATATTATATACAGGTAGCTCAAGCAATCGCATTTGCGGTTTTTGCGTTTTTGCAAACCTTCCGCTTCAAACTTTTATTTTTTAACTTTTTTATCTCAGGAGGTTTCAAAATGAGTATACTTAGTCGGATTTCCGATACTTTTCATGGTGTTGTTGACGGTCTTAACAACACTTTTAAGGTCATGAATGCTACTGTTCCTGCTCCTGCTCCTTTGCAGTCTGTTAATTCTGGCCTTGAAGCTGGTATCAAGGCCACAACCAAGTTTGACAATAAGGTTAAAGATGTTGCTGGTGCAATGTATGATAATTGGATTAAACCTGAATTAGATGCTAAGGTCAGTGCTGGCAAGGAGTTAGGTGAAGCTGTTGGTAATGCTTTATCAAATAATGATTATGCTTCTAGTACTGTCCCTATTTATTCTGATGCCGGTACAAGGCTCCCTGCGGCCTCAGATGCCGTTAGTTATCTGAATGCTGATTTGGCTAAGGCATACAATATGGACGCCTCCACGGCGTATCAGGAGGCTCTGAGCAACACTAGTTATCAGCGAGCCGTTTCCGATCTTCAGAAGGCCGGCCTTAACCCTGCTCTGCTTTATGGTTCTCTTCAGGGTGCCTCAGCTGGAGTTTATGCTCCTGCCCAGCTGGGCAGTGATGGTGTATCTACTGGTGTCAGCAGTGCTAAATCTTCTCATGACTATTATAAGAAGTTTTCCAATATTGGTGGCCTCATTGGTGCCGGTATTGGTGCTATTTCTGGTGGTGTTAAAGGCTCTTATTTTGGATCCAAAGTTGGCTCTAGTGTTGGTGGAGCCTTTGGTAATCTTTTTGATCTTCAATAATTAATCACCGGGCACATATTTTTGCCTTGATTATATATGTGCCCGGTGACACCGGAGGTGTTAATATGTCTTGTTTTCGTCCTAATGCTGTGATCTATCATGGCGATAGTTTCTATAAGTTTGCTGGTAAAGCTTCTAGCCAATTAGAGTCCTCTTTGATTGATGGTCAAAGGATGGTGCTTGTTCCATGTGGTCAGTGTGCCGGTTGTCGATCTGATCGTGCTAAAGCTTGGGCTAATCGGCTTATGTTGGAGTACAAGTATAGTTGTAATGATGCGCTTTTTTTGACTTTGACTTATGATGATCAGCATTTGCCTTTGGTTCGTGATCCCGATGGTGTTCCTATTCCTTCGCTTAAAAAGAGAGATTTCCAGCTTTTTATTAAGCGATTGCGTAAGTTTTTTTCTAACAAGCGGATTCGTTATTTCTTATGCGGTGAATATGGCGATAAGACATTCCGACCTCATGGTCATGCTATTATCTTTGGTCTTACTCCTAATGATTTCAAGGACTTTGAAATCTGGAGTGATAGTTCTGAAGGTGTCCTTTTGCATTCAGGACATTTAGATACTATCTGGTCATTTGGGCGCGTACTTTTTTCAATTGCTAACTATGCTACTTTTAAGTATGTTTCTAGGTATGTTCTGAAAAAACAATTTGGTCAAGATGGTTATTTTGCTTACAGGAATCGTGTTTCTCCTTTTATCTTGATGTCTACTAAGCCAGCTCTTGGCATGGCTGCCATTGATCAGTATGGTGATTTTTCTTGTTTGCCGGTGTCTGATGGCATTTTTAAAACTCGTGTAAATATGCCGAGATCTTTTTTAACAAAATTATCCTTGTCGGATCCTGATCGTTATGATATTATATCTATGCGGAGGCATTTTCTTGCCGAGTCTAGGACGAATTTAATCAAGTCTCAGTTATCGAGTGATTATTTTTCTTTCCTCAGAGGTCAAGAGTCTGATTTCCGTGCTAAATCTTATAAATCTTTTAGGAGGTGTCAATTATGAAAAGATGGCGTGCTGGATCCGGTGATCGTCGTTTCTTTCGCCGGACTGCTTCTGGATCCAAGGCTATTAACCTTGGCGGTCTCACTCTGAGAGGAGGCCTTCGTCTGTAATGGCTACTTGGTACGAGGATAGCTGTATTTTTCACAATGAAATTGGTGGTGTCTACAAGCATTATGATTTTCGAAGTCGTGCTTGGTATTTTGAAGTCACTACGACTGACGGCTATTGGTCTATTTTTTCCAATGAGGATACTGCTATTGAATTTTTGACGAGTGCTCAGTATTATTTTGCTGTAAGAAAGGGTAATGAAAAATGAAATATCGTGTTTATTCTATTCGTGATCGCTTGGTTGGTTTTGGTGCTCTTACTCTTGATCAGAGCGATGATAGTGCCAAACGAAATTTTGCTTATAGTTTGAGCAATGGCATCAATGCTTTTGCTGCTGATGATTTTGATCTTTACTGGCTCGGTACTTATGATCTTGATAAAGGTGTTCTTGATCCTAATCTTGTTCCTGAGTTTATTATTTCCGGTCATGATGCACATGCTATGTATGGAGGTTAATTATGCGTTTTAATTCAGTTTCGAGGGATCCGATTTATTCGGATCCTGGTGATCCTGTAGAAATTATTTATTCTCCGGTAGTTGTTGATGGTGATATTATTCTTGTACCTTCTGGCTCTATTGATATTCCTTCTGAAATCAATAGTCACGTAGATGATTGCGATATGCAGATTATTATTTCTCGGTTGATTGCCGGTGATACTTCTGTTTTAAGGCCTTCCATTTATGGTGATGTTTCTGATGCTTCTTTTGATCACCGTGCAGCGCTTGATTTTGTGATTCAAAGTCAATCTTACTTTGATAATTTGCCCGCTGCCATTAAGGCTCAATTTGATAATTCTTTTGTTAACTGGTTCCAGAGTGCCGGTTCCGAAGTTTTTATTAATAATTTTAATGTTAAATCTGAGGAGGTTTCTTCTGATGAATCGTAATACTGAATCTCATTTTTCTTCTGTTCCTACTCTCCAAACTAGGAGATCTGTGTTTGATCGGTCTTTTTCTCATACTACGACTTTTAACTTTGCTGATTGTATTCCTATTCTCTGCGAGGAAGTCCTCCCTGGTGATACTGTTTCTTTGACTACCAGCAAGATTGTACGTATGCAGACTCTTTTATCCCCTGTGATGGGCAATGCCTATTTGGACACTTATTATTTTTTCGTGCCTAACAGAATCCTTTGGGATCATTGGGTTAATTTCATGGGTGAGAACGCGGATTCCGCGTGGATCCCTAAAGTTGACTATCGTATGCCTCGTGTTGGTTCTCCTGGTGATTGATTCTACTGGTTTTAATACTGGTACTATTGCTGATTATCTTGGCTATCCTACTAATGTAGCGTGGAGTCCTGATTCTGATTATGCTCCTACTGTTCTCCCTATGAGAGCCTATGCGATGTGCATGGATCATTTCTTTCGTGACCAGAACTTAACTGCTCCTCTTCCTATTTCTACTGCTGACGGCGATGTAAGAGGCTCTAATGCGAGAGATATTAATGCCTATGCTAAAGGTGGTTTGCCCTTCAGGGCTTATAAGTTTCATGATTATTTTACTTCTTGCCTTCCTTCTCCCCAAAAAGGTCCTGATGTTAATATAGGTGCTAATATGCGATTGAAGCTTCCTGTTTATGCTGCTAATAATCATGGTTATTTTAATACTGGTGGATCTCCCAGTATTCCTATTGCTGTTCAGGGTGCTGTTCTTCCTGGTAATTCCCTCATCTTCTGTTAATCCTACTCAGGCTCTTACTGCTTCCAGCAATAATATTAATTATTCTGCTGTTGGTTCTCAGACTGTTGGTTCTGTGACTTATCCCGTTATTAATAGTTCAACTAACCTTTTTATTCCTTCTAATCTGTGGGCAGTTAATCAGACTTCTTCTGGTGCTATTGGTACTTCTGATGTTAATTTGACTGTTAATTCTCTTCGTATAGCTGTTCTTACTCAGATGTATTATGAAAGTTCTTGCCCGGAGCGGCTCTCGTTATGAGGAGCAGCTGCATGCTTTCTTTCATGTTTACTAATCCGGATTCCAGAATGCAGCACCCCGAAATACCTCGGCGGTAAATCGTATTCGTCTTAATGTTCATGAAGTTAACGAATACTTCCCAGTCTGAGCAGGATTTTTCTCGGTGATATTGGCGCTAAGTCTGCGACTACTGATTCTCATGCTGATTTTGTTCGTTCCTTTACTGAACACGGTTGGTTGCTTGGTATTGCAGTTGCTCGATATGATCACCTTTATAGCCAGTCGCTTCCTGCTAAATTTTCTCGAGTTGATAAATTTAGTTTCTATAATCCGCTTTTCTCCGAGATTGGCGAACAGCCCCGTTTATGATTCTGAGATCTATGCTACTACTTCCAGCATTGAGGATCATTCTGTTTTTGGATATCAGGAAGGTTGGGCTTCTTACCGTTATGCACCGAATGTTGTTTCTGGTTTAATGCGTCCGACTTCTGAGGGTGCTTTCTCTACTTGGACATTTGCCGATGCTTATAGTACTAAGCCCACGCTTTCCGCTGGTTGGGCTCGAGAGGATCCTAATATTCCCAATCGTGTGCTTGCTGTCACTTCTGATCTTTCTGATCAGATTTTTGCTGATTTCTATTTCGAAGCAAAATGGTCTAGAGTCATGCCGATGTTCTCTGTTCCTGGTGCTATTGGTGCATTTTAATAATAAAAAATTATTAATTTATCTATATAATCCGAGGCGAGCACCGCTTAAGCCAATTTAACCGCTTATCCACAGGAATTATCCACATAATTGTGGATAAACCTGTGGATAAGTCCTATTATCGTGTCTAAAAGCCTTTTTTGCTTCCCTGTATATAATATAATAATAATATATATATATATTTATAATATATTACATTAAGGTATATATATATTATATTATATATTATATACAGGTAGCTCAAGCAATCGCATTTGCGGTTTTTGCGTTTTTGCAAACCTTCCGCTTCAAACTTTTATTTTTTAACTTTTTTATCTCAGGAGGTTTCAAAATGAGTATACTTAGTCGGATTTCCGATACTTTTTCATGGTGTTGTTGACGGTCTTAACAACACTTTTAAGGTCATGAATGCTACTGTTCCTGCTCCTGCTCCTTTGCAGTCTGTTAATTCTGGCCTTGAAGCTGGTATCAAGGCCACAACCAAGTTTGACAATAAGGTTAAAGATGTTGCTGGTGCAATGTATGATAATTGGATTAAACCTGAATTAGATGCTAAGGTCAGTGCTGGCAAGGAGTTAGGTGAAGCTGTTGGTAATGCTTTATCAAATAATGATTATGCTTCTAGTACTGTCCCTATTTATTCTGATGCCCGGTACAAGGCTCCCTGCGGCCTCAGATGCCCGTTAGTTATCTGAATGCTGATTTGGCTAAGGCATACAATATGGACGCCTCCACGGCGTATCAGGAGGCTCTGAGCAACACTAGTTATCAGCGAGCCGTTTCCGATCTTCAGAAGGCCGGCCTTAACCCTGCTCTGCTTTATGGTTCCTCTTCAGGGTGCCTCAGCTGGAGTTTATGCTCCTGCCCAGCTGGGCAGTGATGGTGTATCTACTGGTGTCAGCAGTGCTAAATCTTCTCATGACTATTATAAGAAGTTTTCCAATATTGGTGGCCTCATTGGTGCCGGTATTGGTGCTATTTCTGGTGGTGTTAAAGGCTCTTATTTTGGATCCAAAGTTGGCTCTAGTGTTGGTGGAGCCTTTGGTAATCTTTTTGATCTTCAATAATTAATCACCGGGCACATATTTTTGCCTTGATTATATATGTGCCCGGTGACACCGGAGGTGTTAATATGTCTTGTTTTCGTCCTAATGCTGTGATCTATCATGGCGATAGTTTTCTATAAGTTTGCTGGTAAAAGCTTCTAAGCCAATTAGAGTCCTCTTTGATTGATGGTCAAAGGATGGTGCTTGTTCCATGTGGTCAGTGTGCCGGTTGTCGATCTGATCGTGCTAAAGCTTGGGCTAATCGGCTTATGTTGGAGTACAAGTATAGTTGTAATGATGCGCTTTTTTTTGACTTTGACTTATGATGATCAGCATTTGCCTTTGGTTCGTGATCCCGATGGTGTTTCCTATTCCTTCGCTTAAAAAGAGAGATTTCCAGCTTTTTATTAAGCGATTGCGTAAGTTTTTTTCTAACAAGCGGATTCGTTATTTCTTATGCGGTGAATATGGCGATAAGACATTCCGACCTCATGGTCATGCTATTATCTTTGGTCTTACTCCTAATGATTTCAAGGACTTTGAAATCTGGAGTGATAGTTCTGAAGGTGTCCCTTTTGCATTCAGGACATTTAGATACTATCTGGTCATTTGGGCGCGTACTTTTTTCAATTGCTAACTATGCTACTTTTAAGTATGTTTCTAGGTATGTTCTGAAAAAACAATTTGGTCAAGATGGTTATTTTTGCTTACAGGAATCGTGTTTCTCCTTTTATCTTGATGTCTACTAAGCCAGCTCTTGGCATGGCTGCCATTGATCAGTATGGTGATTTTTCTTGTTTGCCGGTGTCTGATGGCATTTTTAAAACTCGTGTAAATATGCCGAGATCTTTTTTTAACAAAATTATCCTTGTCGGATCCTGATCGTTATGATATTATATCTATGCGGAGGCATTTTCTTGCCGAGTCTAGGACGAATTTAATCAAGTCTCAGTTATCGAGTGATTATTTTTTCTTTCCTCAGAGGTCAAGAGTCTGATTTCCGTGCTAAATCTTATAAATCTTTTAGGAGGTGTCAATTATGAAAAGATGGCGTGCTGGATCCGGTGATCGTCGTTTCTTTCGCCGGACCTGCTTCTGGATCCAAGGCTATTAACCTTGGCGGTCTCACTCTGAGAGGAGGCCTTCGTCTGTAATGGCTACTTGGTACGAGGATAGCTGTATTTTTCACAATGAAATTGGTGGTGTCTACAAGCATTATGATTTTCGAAGGTCGTGCTTGGTATTTTGAAGTCACTACGACTGACGGCTATTGGTCTATTTTTTCCAATGAGGATACTGCTATTGAATTTTTGACGAGTGCTCAGTATTATTTTGCTGTAAGAAAGGGTAATGAAAAATGAAATATCGTGTTTATTTCTATTCGTGATCGCTTGGTTGGTTTTGGTGCTCTTACTCTTGATCAGAGCGATGATAGTGCCAAACGAAATTTTGCTTATAGTTTGAGCAATGGCATCAATGCTTTTGCTGCTGATGATTTTGATCTTTACTGGCTCGGTACTTATGATCTTGATAAAGGTGTTCTTGATCCTAATCTTGTTCCTGAGTTTATTATTTCCGGTCATGATGCACATGCTATGTATGGAGGTTAATTATGCGTTTTAATTCAGTTTCGAGGGATCCGATTTATTCGGATCCTGGTGATCCTGTAGAAATTATTTATTCTCCGGTAGTTGTTGATGGTGATATTATTCTTGTACCTTCTGGCTCTATTGATATTCCTTCTGAAATCAATAGTCACGTAGATGATTGCGATATGCAGATTATTATTTCTCGGTTGATTGCCGGTGATACTTCTGTTTTAAGGCCTTCCATTTATGGTGATGTTTCTGATGCTTCTTTTGATCACCGTGCAGCGCTTTGATTTTGTGATTCAAAGTCAATCTTACTTTGATAATTTTGCCCGCTGCCATTAAGGCTCAATTTGATAATTCTTTTGTTAACTGGTTCCAGAGTGCCGGTTCCGAAGTTTTTATTAATAATTTTAATGTTAAATCTGAGGAGGTTTCTTCTGATGAATCGTAATACTGAATCT